CTCTCTCTCTCTCTCTCTCTCTCTCATCTTCACCCTTCTTCCTTAAATTCGCCATTGCCCACCTCTCATTCAGCAAAAATCCAGGAGGGAATTCCTTTATCACCTGAGAGAAAGAGACAGGTGATAAGGAGTCCACATTGGTCAGATATGAAATACCTAGAATTTCCTAGACATGACCAATAGAAATCACCATAAAGTATGGCTATACATAGTCCTGGACAGTCCTCTGTGTACATTAATAGATGCCACTCCATTTTACATGCCATTGTTCTCAAAATACCCCTTTGTAGTGACCTTATTTCAAAAAAACATTTTTTTTTGGGGGGGGGGGATAACAGATATTAAGGGGGAGAGAGAGTACGAAACTGAACTATGCCCCCCTCTCATCATAAAATCCTGAACCCAGCCCTAATAATAAGCTTTGCTTGAAAATTCCTCCAACTATACCCACACAAACTATTCCTCAACACTGACTTTTCTAAAGCCTTCACTACAGACCAATTTATTTATCTAATCTCTCACCCATCAATTTTGATTTTTATTTATCATTTCTGTCTGAAGTGCTGCCCTGATTAAGAATAGGAAATAACATGCAAATACCTGATGTGCAGTCTCTCACCCTTTTTTTCTGTGAGATAAACTATCTGAAATGACTGGATTGAAAACCATTTCCCAATCAGTGACACTGAATTCCGCAGTAATCACTCTCTGGGCTTTATCCCGTCACTGGAAACCTGGACCACTCAGCCTAAGATCTCTTCTCAAAGCTTTCAAATTACAAGCCAAATTCACACTGTGGACATCTAGAACTTTTCTGAACTGATCCAATTGAAGTAAGGGATACCATTCAACATTTTTGCTGATTGCAATAAAAATGGTGGCTAGACAGCAAATCATCAAGCAATCCATTTTCAGCACAATGTAAACCTGAGTCAACAGATTTACATTTGGTCTTAAGTATTTGTAACTTTGACCAACTGAGAAGTGATCTGTAAAAATCCACTGTGAACCTGTCTCTAGTCTATATATACTAAATCCTCCCTAGGAATTTCAACCTCTTCACCCCTTCCTGACCTGTACTTCATTCATTAAAGCTACAGCCCTGTATCACATCAGATTACTGAGAGCTGGTATTCCTCTGGAATGATTTGCTTTATAAAACAACAGAGAGAAAACCTGAGGCTCACCTATCACCAGTGATGTTTTGATTTCTACTAATTTTTATATTCTCTCTCTCTCTCTCTCTCTCTCTCTCTCTCTCTCTCTCTGCAGGTGGTCTTGGTTCAGTTTAATTGGTGTTCTTCATCAATTACCTTGTTAAATCTCTGTAAACTACAGGTGACTATTAAGTTGTTTAAAGCTAGAAGTGCAATTTGTCAAAATTAAACCTCCTTAACATTTGTCTAGACCAATCATCCTGTCAAAGAGTGTTAAGTTAAACCATTTCATCTCCAACAAACTCTCAGCATTGCACTCTTGCATTCCAAATCACAGGCCACTTGGGAAAATTGAAATTAGCCAATTTTCTCTGATCTCAATTCTTTTCTTTTCAAAATTTTTTTACACATTTTGGTCAAGAGAATATAATACAGTTCCTCACATTTTTACCATTTCTGCTGACACTAATTAGTTCAAATATTTCCACACAATTCTTTTTCAAAAAATATTTTATATCCCTTGCTCATTGTCTATAATCTGGCTCCAAGTAAAAATTTATTCAGGTATTTCTTATTATTTTTAGATGTTAGAAATTAGAAAGATTACTGTAATTTTACACATGAGAGTCTGATTTCTAAAAAAAAAGGTCCAAATTCAGCAACCATGTAATGACTATTGAAATATGAGAAGGATAATCTACCCAAAGTATTCAAAATGCAGCTCGGTATCAGAGAGTAGGGGTAAGCTTTTGCAGAGATAATATGAGCTCTTGCTTTTAGAATACTCTTTACTGGTTATTTTCTTAAGATTCTTACACTGGGTTATTGTATTTCCAAATTAATTGGCTACATTTCTCTCAATTTGAGCTTTATTTTCTTTCAGTAACAGTATATGGTATCAGCATTCAATTCCCCACAGTTTGAACAAATAAAATGTTTATTTTGCCTACACTAACAGAGAGAGAACATTGGTCATTATTAAGTTAACAATAAACCTGTAATTAATTATGATACAGGAACAAGATGCAATTCACTGTTTGAAAGACAATCTGAAATTAAACATTCATTAACATTTATTTAACCATGAAAAAAAAAGGAAAAAAAGAATTGCTTAGGCTCCATAGATTTCATACAAAAAAAAGCACCTAAATGAAGCAAAAGAAAGATAATTAATGAATCAGGTAACAAGATCTACAGAAGATTTTTAAAAACACCAAACAAAGAGAGAAATAAAATAACAAGATAGTCAAGACCTCATTTTCCATGCAATGTTTGTTTGCCCCTGTTTTTTAACCTCTCCCACCCCCACCCCCCAGAATTTTCTTCGTGTGAAAAACAGCCACATATAAATCCTGATGTCCTGTCAAAGTGACAGTTCTGCAGTAATTTCCCAGTGTGTGCTATTTATAGCCTACTAGGGAATTCTCTTCCTATTTGTGTTATTTATGGCAATCAGAGTATACCCCTTACAATTTATGGCAATCAGAGTATACCCCTTACAAATTTTTGAGGAACCAAATATATTTTGCCATAATATGATAAACACATAAGAATAATTGCCAAAACATAATATATTTGATCCAACACTGTATAACAATCAAAGAAAGAAGACTGTAAAACAATCAAATAGAGAAGCCCAATGAGAATTGACACTGAGAAGGAAAACTCGTCCTGTATATTGTAAATAATCACTCCTTGCCACAGTGTAAGGCCTTGTTCATTAAAATTACACTGCCACTTTCTGCAGATTATAGTCACATGAAACAAATATGATAAAAACCAACAAAATCTATTTGCCACAAAAATGTCACATCATATATTACGTAATGCATTACCCCAGTTTATGTGTGACAGAACTCTCTTGGGAACTTCTTGCAGAAAGTTGCAGAGTAAGGCCTTAAACTAAGACAACATCACCCCCACCCACCCCACAACATCAACCCCACTCCCACCCCACCCCTCTCTTACCCCCAGGTTTCCTTCCATTACCCCCAGGTTTTCCTCCACAGGTCAGCAAACCAGGAGTAGAATAGAGAATCAATCAATGTAGAATAAAGAAGCATACTAACAATTAACACCGCGCTGAAGCCTGCCTGACATGAGCCTTGTCTGTGATAGCCCCAGGCCGCTGGAAAGGACAGAGACAGCTGAGATGGACTGTGCATATTATGGGGGTTCTGGTGACATCATGTGGGGAGGGGAGTAATGTCCAGTTGCTCTCTCTCTCTCTCTTTCTCTCACTCTCACGCACACACACACACACACACAGCCAAATTAACACACAGTCAATGACTCACTCTCTATCACACCTACACATAATATTTTTTCACTTTCTCTCTCACTTATTTACATTCTCTCTCTCTCTCTCTCTCTCTCTCTCTCTCACACACACACACACACACACACACACACACACACACACACAGAAACATACAGGATTGCTAGAGAACATCTGGACAGTTGCACTGGACAAGGGCTGGACATACAGATGACCACTGCCATCTACATTGAAGCTGCTGTTAGTATTACAATTAGTAATTTTACTACAAAGCATGCACATAACATGCATTTATAATTACAGTACTCATTCAACATGCGTAACGTAGTAGCAGGCAGCAGGCAAGCATGCACAACCCACGATGCATCTCTAATGCACAAGGTACTGGTGCTCTGACAACTAATGCAAAAACCAAGTACAACAGCCTGATGCTCAAGATGAGAGCAATACTTATTGGACTTGCTCATGTTTTATTAAATAGTAAATCTCATTTAAATTGTGAACATATGGTTTTTTGGCAAAAGAATAGATTAACCTTTTGGGTATATTTCTTCATTTTAATTTGGCCTAAAATATCCAACAGTTTTTCTAACATAAATTCCTTCCAAAAATGAGTCCAGAATTGATTTTCTTTATTCAATGATTGATTGAGTTATTAAAATATGTATGCATTACTGCTCCAATCACCCTGAATCTCAGGCTTAATGTTGTACGGATTTTTGCTGTGATTTCCTAAACTTACATCCCCAAGAGAGGCAGACCAGCCTTGCATGCAGAACCCCTGCTTGTGATACTGATCTACGGTACTCGTCAGGAAGTCCACGGCTGATGATGAAAATGAACAAGCCATGTAGTTGAAAAAACATGTGAAATATCAAAATGATACGGTAATTATTCAAAAATTTAAAACCTGTGATGTTATGGAAAGAAATCTATCAGTCGTGTTTCGAAATTTATGAATAATTACCACATTTGTGCTGTCACCCTGTGTCTCAAGGTAAGTAACTATTCACTTCCCCTGAGTCTGTGGACTAGCTCCACATGCCGCACTCATGTTTAACTATCATGGCATTTTCCACAGCTTATGACTTTGATGAAATTGGTGCAATTTAAATGAAAAAATATTATGATATGCAATTCATTACTGTTAAACTGTGTTCTAATCAGCTATGATAATAGAATATATTTTCAGGAAGTAAACACTTGATTGCAATATCTCCAATAAAGCAGTACAGTTTACCTTAAAGCTTGCACAATGAGGGTTGCAATCAAGCGACCCTTTCCTGTTTCAAACCAAATTAAACACAGCTCTTGACATGCTTTTCATTGCATGTGTGCTGTCATTACCATGGCAACAGTGATTTAATTCTTTCATTCCATACAGAATAGCATAAACATAATTTTCTTTTTGTTTTCCAATTTTCATTTCTGTCTTTTACTTTTCTTAAATTGAAGTAAACTTACAACTTAAATATACTGTTTAACTACACACAGTTTTAGAAGTAAAATTTGTAGCATTTCTATAAAATTTTGAATTACCAAATTTATTGATTTATCCTGATTTTAGGACAAGAAAAAATATTTTGTGAAATGAACGTGAAAGGAAATCAGAAATGAAAACAAAAACAAAAAAACATATGTTATCAACTTGAAACTAAAAAGTAAAACAACTTATAAGTCTACATACTATAACTAAACTGCGGAAAACTAAAGCAAAATAAACTAAGCAAAAACTATGTTGCTACATTATAAAAAAATTAAGTCTCACAAACTATTTATAAAAACTAAGTAACTGTTTAATATGAACAAAACAAACTAAAAACTAGTCTGAAGCAAAAACTATAAAACTAAAAATAAATGTTAATCTAAAGGCAAAATATAAAAAAAATAATGATAATAAACCTTTAATTTATGACATTTTCCTGAAAGTCAAAACATGTAACACAAGAAGAATAGACAGCAATGAAATCAAAAAGATTGTGTACCATATTGGCTTACCAAATATCAACTGTTCACGAGTGTAAGAAGGTTTTAAACTCGGTAATCACCCTGATTTTCAAAGTTAACAAGAAAACAGTACCTAATATGACAGACTGGGCCTGCAAATAGGATTCCAGCAAACTTAGGGTGCTTTTGCTACATATATTATCGAACAGTAAATAATCGTTCTAGACTGACATAAGCATAATTTGTCACTATGAATGAACTCACATGTTCGGCATGGCGAATATTCAATAAACCGCGTGGCATTGTTGCTGGCAACGTAGCACGTGCCCACAGGTTCTCGTTTGTCTAAACCACGCGAGAAGTAGACATACCGCGGCGCACACGCCTGGAAAGAAATACACTCTCAAATATTAGTAACAGATTTTTCCTTCTTGTTGGGATATTAGCGGATTATATGAAGAATCCGAAGACCAATGTAAAATTCTGAAAAATATGTTGTATTTTATCAAATTATTTATTCTTCCGGGTAAATGACGACAGAGTGTAATTCACCTGTGTGTGTGTGTGTGTGTGTGTGTGTGTGTGTGTTTTAATTTAAACACTGTAACATACCACAATATGTCTGCCGTCCTGTGAGCTCCTAACTGTAGCTCCGAACCACTGTCCTGACTTGGACTCGGAGGGGACGTCTGCTGTTCCATTCCAACTTGTGTCAGCTCCTAAAACACAAACAAGTTAAACCAAAACTGGCAAAATGAAATCACCTCCAGTTTTTTACGCTTCCAAGCACGCGAAAACGTCATCGCTATGTGAAACCTGTCCCCCCCCCCCCCCCCCTGCAAACCCGAGTTGTAGAACTCACTGGAAATTAATATTTATTCAACATCCGCATCCCTATGCAGATATACTGGCCATCCGAGATTTAGGCTAATTGCTGTGGTCAATGTAGACTAAATAATTCGGTCTTAAACTCAAGTCAATAGTTTTCGGTCTAAAGCGGATTTGTGCAACCGGCCGCAGATTTGGTCCTCAAATGACACGTAATGACTCCTTGTTGACGCAGAACACACACTTTAATGCGCAGTATATTGAATTACAAGATGTCTCATTTTGCGGTGTATGTCCCTGCTCTATTTGATAGTGTTCTCCTCCTCCCTCGGGTCCTCCCCTACAGTTTTACACACAGAATGCTAGAGTGAATATGATCCTGGAATTTCTCTGTATGAATAGGCGTACAAAGCGGTCGTGTTGTCCTTAGATGACATGGTTACAAAAGACGAATACTTTACCTATAACACAGGTGTTAAAGATAGGACATTGTGCCGCCATTGTGATCTGTTACAGAGGCCCATTTCATCTGACAGTGTTAAGTGCAGCAATACCAGCCTTCTATCTATACAGACCCACCTTAATAATCGACAGTTTTTTTAATGGGAGAATAAACAGATTTATAAATTTGAAAATTTGAAAATGTTTTTATAAGGAAAGGTTTAGGTCTAAGCATTTTGGGAAGAACTGTGATGTTGTGGGAATTCTTCCCTGTCTACAAAAAGGACAACTCTTACCAATTGTGTTGTTTGAGTAACCCGAACAGACAATGAGAGAGAGTGGGGGGAGAGGAGAGAGAAAGTGCGGAGAGAGAGAGAGAGAGAGAGGAGAGGGAGAGATGAGCCAGGTAAGTGTCATAACTCACCCTGCGTATCAAAGGGTATTGTTTGACAGGATCTATTGTCCATGGGGTTACACATGTACACAGCGCCACCCTTCTTAACTCCCGGCTGGTTGGTCTGGGACTTGGGAGCGCCGATCAACAGCCTGGAGGAGAAAAAATACATATATAGGCCTACTATTCTATACAATATGGAATAAAACAATATAAAATAAGTACTAGTAGACCCCATCAAACAAGATTGTTTAAATGTAACCCGAAATTAAAATGGAACTAGTTTTTTAACTTGATTTGCACCCCCCCCCCCACCAGCCCCTTCGATTAAAAATATCACACATTTGGAAACTTGAGAATGACAAAATCTGGTTCTCTCCCATTATATAATAAACCAGTACAAACTACTTTATCAGCGGCATGTGTGAACAATGCACTAGAAACATATCTAATATCACTGTGAATAGAACAAAATATTCTTATATCTAAGGAATGTAACAAGCTGGAAGTGAAATATATCTAATGTCATTCTGAACAAAGACGATATCTGAATGAAATTATATAAGAGAGAAGCGTATTTGATATCTGCACATAGAGGATAAAGTGCAAAACATATCTAATATCATTCTGTTTAAAAGATGTTCATTTGATGTGGTGATGCTCTGATGCAAGGACGGGGCGAATAGGGCTGTGACCAGCGCCGTTTTCATTCAAAACTTAATTTATGAAGGTTTATGATTGCGACTTTGCCGCGTATGTCCCTCACTGGATGAAAAAGTTGAGGAAGTAAACGTTTGGGTTAGGCGAAGATTAGATTAGTGGTCCTGTATCACTTCTCAATAAGCCAAAATGCTTGCTTATTGTATTAATAGTTATACAATGATGCAGGCTAAGGCGACGTTTTTACTCTCTGTAAAGAGTGCTACTACAGTTTTTGCTGAAACCGTCTTGAACGCAGCCAATGACATGCTTGTGTGACAATGACATTAGCACAAAGTATGACGTGTTTATTTCAGTAAATCTTATAATTTTAAAAACTATACGAGTTTGACATAGAACTTTGGAATTCTTTCAGCAGTTTCTACCGATCTTCATAATTAGTGAGTGGTTCTAAGACGATGAAGTTCCGTTGTTGGATATATTGAATTGTGTACGTGACAATGTGGAGAGAGGAGTGGTGAACGTTGCTCCACCTCTTTGATATTTTCGTTATCTATTAAGTGCTGTATATCCGTTAAAATGCGATAAAGGCAACACTTAAAGGCGTTAGGAAGTCTGATTATGGCAAGAACGCTTTATTAGTTTATTGCCGAATGAAATAAGATGAATTATGGCGTTTCAAAGATATTTGGCAACGCTCGTCTCTCGCGTATAGATGCACTTGCAAGAAGGGCACACACGCGCACCCCCCCCCCCACCCACCCACTCTCTCTCTCTTTTTGGGTGTCACAACAAACATTGCCATTTGTCTTTCACCTGCTAAAGTGACATTCCACCAGTGATAAATATACTGTTACATGAAACCTTCGTAACTTACCGTTGCGTTTCAGGATACATTAAATGGAACCACTTCAAGCGTACCCCTACTCCCATGCACGGTTTTATGTCTATCCCCACTACTTCAATCTTTTTGAACCCTCTGACTCAGGGTTTAACGGGCGGACACCTGTATGCAAGCTGCGACCGTCTCTACTTTAGTTTTAGAACAGTTTAAAATAAAACGTTGCTGGCCGAGACTGATGTCCTAAGTTTTTCCGTGATTATTGAAAAGTGTGCGGGGAGGAGGGAGAGCTTATCGTTTTTATTGCGTAAAGAAAGCACCGTAACCGCTCTGCCTTCATTAGCTAGATTTTTACGAGGACATTTAAATTTACAAATTTACAAATTAAATTTACAAATTAAAATTTACAAGCTGTCGTGCATATTAAGCATCATCAAAAATATAATTCATGACACATATTATTTCCCTGGAAAAAGTAATTAAATTGAGGCAAAACTATTTTGTTTAAAATTTCAGGACCACCGCGCAGAAAAAAAAAATGTAATATAAATATAGCTATATTCTATAGTGAGAGGTGGAATTGCATAATAGGGCGGGTGGTAGAAAATGTTTGTTAAACATGCAGCTGTCAATGTCAAACCTATCTTTCAACACGTATTCTCTCCCTCTTCACACTTCCCTGCTCTCCTTGAGTGAAATGCAAACCCATCTCGAGCAAATTACAAATTATTCCCAAAAGCCGCTTTAACAAAAACGACCTGAGTCGAAAATAAGTTATTGAACAAATAGTGATTTTATTGAGAAGCCTCGTGGTCAGTTGAATCAATTAAAGTTGGCTTCTGAAATCTAACATAGAGGTCACGTGTCAGACGAAACTCAAGCCGATGCCAACGAGGTCACTACGATCGCTTCTCTGGAATTTTATCCACTTGAACAGGGTCATTAATTAGGATAGTTAACCCATTCCTCCCTTCATCATTTACATTAATAAGGATCATTATCCTGTTGCTGAAAGCTGGACTTGTAGCATCTGTCATAGGGTCTCAATTCTTGGTGATACATGCATGGTTGGTTTGAATTTGTTTAACCTTTTCCGAGACAGCATCTAGTCAAAATCGCGTATCGCTTATTCACAACTCCCCGATCAAGGTCCCAATAGCCAATACTTCAATTTGCGTTGTTTTCCTTTTCCAAATCTGTGTAAGTGAAACATACTGTGGGGTAAATTGTGATTCAATATTTGTGAAGTGGTCCAAATTGTGAAACAGTAAACTCCGTTTCCCAATGTTGGTACCCTTTGGTCATGGGAATATGTCAATGTCAGAATCTTTTTCAACCTGAATTTTTTTCTTTGTTTTCTTTTTTTCTTTCTTATTCATTTCCTCATTTCTCTGCAGACGTTTATTGTGTGTGTGTGTGTGTGTGTGTACGCACGTATGTACGTGTGCGTGTGTTTGTGTTTGTGTTGGAGAGAGAGAGAGAGAGAGAGAGAGAGAGAGAGAGAGTGAGTGAGAGAGAGTGAAAACGAAGCAAAACGACTGAATCTATCAATATACATCGTCTCTCGCGGCGGGACGGCTGTGTTAGATTAGCCCTGCTGTATGCTGTGGGCGGTACAAGCGTTTATCATCGAAACAAGTTCCATCAATGTTCTCACTGTTTCATCTGAGAGCGGCTTTGTTTCTGCCGGGTTTTCAGCGTTTGCTTGAAGACAGTGAGTGTAACGTGTCTACGCCACGTCCTTACTTCTGTGAAAGTTTTCAATGAACACAACCGCCTAGTGCATAGTCTGTAATCTTCTTGTAGCACGGCATCCGATTTCCTGTAAATACCGCTTAGGGCTTTTTATTGCCACGTATCATTTTCGCCTGCATGTTACGGTTTAATTTATGTCATATATATTCTCCATCTTGAAATTATTCTAATGCAAAATCTACTCATGTGTCGTGTCTTATGGACAATAGAGTTAGCTTATACAGAAGGTAAAAGTGTAAGACTGTTGCATTTTTCCTTTCAACATTTCCCTAGAAAGGAATTATGTCATGCAGATCATCCCGTTTTAATTGTCTCATCGCTGTCTGAAGAAAATAATCGGGAAGTAAAATCGTGGTACACTATACGTGTATATGGACTGAGCCAATAGCTGAATAATCTCCACGTTGCTAGTTGTAGATCCAGATGTTTAAAATTCCATTAATTGTATACAAATTCAGAGTTGAACCATATAAACACCAGACAATGTTTTAAAATATGTTTAATGAGTCTGGAACCAAGCCGAAAATCGTTTAAGTTTTAACGTCATGGCACAAGAAGTAGATAGTTGCCTCCAGCACCCCCCCTCCCCCAACCTTCCCCCTACCACCACCACCACCAACGCTTACTTTGCAAACCACTTTACCCAGGAAGCGCAAATGAGATACACACCGGGAGGGGGGTGCAATAAAGCGTCTACTGTCTTAAGTTAATAGAAAACGGACCATGTAATGTTAAAACCGTCTCAAACCCGGTTTGAGGTAAGACACCAAAACTAACTCCGATCCTTCGCATAACATTGCAGGGTGGCGGTCCCCGGTACACATTTTTAAAATCGGTCACAGTTTTCTTGATACATGTCAAATTACTCATGCATACCGACAGCCTTGTTTCACACTGGGTGGATGTCAACATTCGGGTTCAGTTTGCGCTCCTTTTTTTCTTTATAATATAATTCTTCATATTGTGATGTAAACCCGGTAGCTGCGAGCGGTTGGGTGCAGAAGACGGGAAGACCTCTGCGGTTTCAGGTCACTCGCCCTTAGAACTGTTTTCATCCTTTTTGACATTACTGTTTTTGACACTTTTCTTAATCGCAATTTCGTGTAGTTCTAAATAGTGATAAAATATGTGGGCAGGCTAAGGCAACCGAATGGGATTTTTTTATCACAATTTTTTATTACAAGAACACATCAATCCTTCTTGATTTCTGAATGCAGTCAAGTTAAATTTAGGTTTTTGCGCTTACCTAAGACTCCCACACAGGGGCTTTGAACGTGGTATATTATTACTATTTTACATGTAGTCTGCTCTGTGGAATTGTCCTTTAGAAGGTGTACAGTCTCACCCCATTTCCATAGATTAGATCGACCTACTTTAGATCGACCTAACTCCCTGGGGGTTCACGCTAAATAGCTGTCAGCCGGGCGGACACGAAAGTTAATTACCCCCTTACAGCTTGCAGTAGGCGGGACGGACATTTAAGTCGGATTATCTGAAAGTAATCTAGTGAGACTCCCCGCGGGGATAGATCGATCTAAAATCTATGGGAATAGAGCCATTGAAGTCCCTGTGCCTATGTTTAATATTCACTGAACCGAGAGAGATAAGATACAGAGGGCGAGAGAGAGGTGGGTGAGCGATATCGAATACCAACTGATTGCAGTAGGCATAGATCGAGAATTATTCTTTTGCGTGGGGACTACGTAGTATTACCTTTGACTGGTCCTGAGTCATGTACCTCCACTAGACGCTGCGATAAACGTAATTCCGTAAACAAATGTTGCATATTACACCCAGTTGAATAGCAGACGTTCAACGTCATATAAAACTCAGGATTGAAATTCCTGCCCTTCCATAAGTGATCAAAATCCGGACAAGCTAACACCCTGTGTGTCAACGAACTGTGCTTTGATATACTGATAACGCAAAACATATTTATTGCGAGTATTCTGACCCTTACACCCCATTTCCATAGATTAGATCGACCTACTTTAGATCGACCTAACTCCCTGGGGTTCACGCTAAATAGCTGTCAGCCGAGCGGACACGAAAGTTAATTACACCCTTACAGCTTGTAGTAGGCGGGACGAACATTTAAGTCGGATTATCTGAAAGTTATCTAGTGAGACTCCCCGCGGGGATAGATCGATCTAAAATCTATGGGAATAGAGCCTTAGTACTCAAGTGAGTTGGAAGTCTTTGTCAGTGTTGTTACCAAATTATGGTTATAAGATTTCAAAGATATCAGAAGAGGTTCCCACCTCTATGTTTATGTTTATGTAAAAGACAGTCATAAGTTAGTTCAACCTGGAATTCGGAGTTTGCCGAGTTCACATATCAGTGTGTTTATCTTTTTGGGGTTGGTATTTCGGTCTTTTCTCTTTGAAATAAAAAACGAATTCAGCTTTACCGTCAGAAATCTCTCTATGTATAAAATCACTATCGACAAGGAATGGAAACGAACTGAACTCCAGAGGGGAGGATGCCAGAACATGTACAGTAAGCTACATGTGCTGATGAATATCGTTATTGATATTCATGGCATTTGACCCCTCTACACTCAGGGTGAGCAAACCGCGTGAACCGGAACCTCGGCATTCCTCTCGGCGTTACCGTCGAGTTGTCAGGAAGCGTGTTTGTGTTTACTCTCCTCAGGGGGCGGGGTCATCTTGACCATCCGCACGTGTTTGACCAGCGGGTGTCTGAGCACGATTGCCGCAGTCAATACCGATGACATCTTTCTTAATGCTGCTCCATTGCATATTTAATTTATGATATAAGGATGGAATAATACTTTCAAGGCATTACGCATCATCGAAATCTAGTTAGACACGTGGTGCGTCCCCACTTAATGGAACAAACGACTCTTATGTTAATTTTAATAAATAATTAATTGGTCGTTATGCAGCTGATCCAATTTCTTGTCTCAGCACGCAATTCTGTACTACAGAAATCTTGACATGACCTAGTCGCCCTGAATTTCAAAGGGAACTGGAATCTCCCCTCCGCCTTACTCTCTACCAGCGGCCAGCTGGGTGATGCCGTCAATTTTTTCCCTTTTGCAAAAAAATTCTCTGCACAGTGCAGAATAGTGCAGAGGAAAAGCCAGAGAAATAATGTGACTTCCAAGTTCCTAGTGAAAAATAATTCTCTTTGTGACCCTGCATCTCTCTTGTACCTCTGCTTCAGTATATTGAAAAAAGCAGAGGTAAGCTGATAGTAGAGCTGTATGTAGCCATTGTCTTTTGAACTTCAGGGTGCTGATAGAGGAATTCATGAGGAAATTTGCTAGTCCGGTCTCTGCTCTGAGAGGAAGGGAGGGAGGGGGAGGAAACCTGGGTTATAAAGTGGTACGGGAAACTTGGACTACTTCTTAATATCTTCATACCGTGATACTTCTACATGCTTCGCTAATATTAAACACTTGGCCTGTTACTCGTGATCGACACTATTTCTACTTGCCATTGTATTTAATTTTAGATTGAAAATAACCATAGAGACAAGATTTTTATCAGAAAAAAGGCGTTTTGAAAATTGCTGCACCTCCTTATCCATGCCAATCCAGATGTGCCATATAAAGAATATACAGTAACGACGAGCGATAGGAAAATAATTATTCTGATTTCTGATTGGGTTTATGAGGTTAAAAATTCAATTGCGACTGCGGCATCCAATCAAGGATATGCGCCATATAATTACAGACAAATGTCATTATCCGTTATAAAAATGAGGTCAGCCCGGAAGATTCATTGTGGATGAGTTTGGTTGAGGGGGGGGGGGGGGGAGGGAGAGGGTCAGGGAATGCAGTGAGTGGAGAGGATCGGGGTGGGGGTGCTAAGAAACGGAAAATCGAATATTTGACATTGTTTTTACTGATATGTCAAAATCGTAAGACAAGTCAGTTGAGAGAGAGAGAGAGAGAGATGCCCGCAGCTCTAGGCTAGGGAGCGTAGAGACAGCGGGAGTGAAGATAAGATTATACGAATTTATTTAGATTAATTAAAAGCACTGGGCACTCACCATTTAACATTGTTGGCGTCGTCCACATGTTCAGCCACTGAGAACCCGAACATCACGTCCGGCTCT